GCAAATATATTAATAGTTAATTTAACTATTAATATATTTGCTACACTTAAAGACATCGGTAAGGAGTGAATTTCAATTGTCTTTATTGAATTTTGATAAGTATACTTCATATGAATAACATTGTTTTTGCAATAAGTTATATTTACAAAAAAAAAAAAAAAAAAAAAAAAAAAAAAAAGAGGGAATACAAGAGTTGTCATCACGAGCTGTTAAGGCAACTAACACGCACCAAAAAAAATGTTTAAAATATACTTAACATGTATTCTGTGCATGAAAATATACAAATTTTAGACCATTTATGAACACTGAACAGTTTCTAATATAGAAACTTAAAATTTATACTGCCTAAATTTGAAGATAAAAGGTTGATAATTTATCAACCCAAATTAAAGCATTTTATTTACTACTTTTAAGAGAAAAATATAATTCAAGTAACTAAAAATAGCTGCCTGTAAACTGGCATTCAATTTGCTTTGGCTTTTTAATAGCGTTCAGCTTTAAGTCATATCAGCTGAAAGGCAATAGATAGATGAAGGGGTGTAAACAGGAAAGGGAAAATAAGTACTTCAAAACTTGTTCAATTTCGTAAAGAAAAAAAAAGGGGGGGGGTCTCTACTACTGTGAAGTAATAAGATTAAGCTTTTATGAAGGCTTGAAACCAACCAAGAATGATATAGCTTCATTTTGGCTGCTTATAAAAGCAAGATTCACAGTAATTTATTGGCCATAAGACTAAGTCACAATAAAAGTTGGTTTTAAATTTACACTCATTAAGAGACATTTTAAAATAAATGGTCTGATATTGGTCATTCACATTTATTCCAAAGGAAGTGATTTGACAATTCTGTATTACCAATAAATAAAGAAAAAAAAGAAAAAGTTTAATGATTGGAGATAGAACTAGCTAAAAAGTAACAGCTTAGTTAAGTTTCTGGATTTTTTTTTTATTGTAATATAGAAAATTCCAGAAATTTTGAAGGGAAATTTACTAACACCACCTATAAAAAAAAAACCAAAAAACAAAACAAATTGGGGAAATCATTGTGTGTGGGAAAGGTTTCAAATGTTCGATGAATATTTTAAAATTGAGTATTAATGAAACTAAGTTATTTGAAAGAAACTAGAAGCGCGTTCCTATCCAGTGGTTTTTGCAATATATACATATATTTTTTTTTTTTTTACATTAAACTAAATGACAAGGCTTCTACATTTTCAGCGTAAGGCACCTTGTTGAATAATAGTGATACTAAAAAAAAAAAAAAAAAAAAAAAAAAAAAAAACGTATGGATCTGAAGATAAGACTCGTGATGCATTTTTAATTAATGGAGTATAAAGTCATAGTGACTAAGGTAAGATCAATAACTATGCATTTCCTACAGCTTCTGCTTCAATGTAGTTGTGTAAAGTGTTTATGAAATATGAAAGCATTTGTTTGAATAAGTTTTAGTTGATATTTCAATTTTTCGTATTGAAGTCATTCTGATTGTTACTTATACGGATCGGAAATAAACAAAATTTAGTAACTAGTTTGGTGAAATCGAGTATTGAAAAAAAAAAACTTATTTGATCTTTTTGCAAGTTGCAACTGTTGGCTTTCGTAGTTCAATTGTCGGGCTAAGAGACGTAAAAAAGCAACTTACAAAAAGTTGCTTTTTTTTTTTTACACTAGTATTAATTAGAATTAATTTTAATAAAAGGCGGCGGTTGGATACTTCAGGTAGAAAAAAAGACATGACTAGTTTCTATTAAGCCAGATAGTAAAATTTGCAAGATGTTTTGCTGAATAGCTTGAAATAAAATTATTTCAAGAAAGCAAAATGAAATTTATCAAATGAGTCAAGCAGAGAAGCAAGCCAAAAATAAATTTCAAAGAAAAACTGAAAAGTCAAACTAGTTTAATGACCTGCTAGAAAATATTTGAGTCACATAAAAATATCCAGAAAAAGTTTAGAAATTAAATTTCAGTTAATCATTATCTAGGAACTTGTTTAAGCTTTACTTGTTAAGTAGGAACATTCATAATTTGCTTATTGTGATAAAGACATGCAACATTACAAATTAGATTTTTTTTGTTTACAATATACATGCAATATCAGATGTAATTACGTGCTACAAGTTACAGAATTATGAAAGTTTTAGTTATTAAATGTGTTACCAATTGATAACATTCATACTTAATATTGGATAGAAAATCCATTTGAGAATTTAAGATGACCCCCACCCCACAAAAAAAAAAAAAAAAAAAAAACTGGTTTCAGGTTTTAAGACTAAAAAGGTCTTGTTTCTGTAGTTTCAAATTAAGCCTATACAAGTTTTAGTTTGGAAAAAGCTTTAATAAATTTAAGTTATTGAATCCTCCTCACCAATAAGCGAGTTTAAAGGCTAAAACCCGAAACATTTAAGGATATGAAAATATTAGCTTCATTTAGGGCGTTTAAAGTAAAAAGGCAAAACAAAATACGAACAGCAATAAAAAAGAAAAACATTCAGAAGTTCAAGGCCACAACAGAAATGCATATCGAACAAACATGCTGAAATTTAAATAACGTTACAAAATAAACTAAAGTAAAAAAGACGAAGTTTTTAAAACTAAAAAGATACGAATAGAAAAACAAAGAACATTGAAACCCAACAAGTTAAAAACTCAAGTAGTCAAATATTAAAAGAAAGAAAGAAAAAAAGAAAAGGCTAGGATGGGTGTGGAATTGAACCTAACAGATTTTTTAAAGTCTTACTTACCTCCCCATGCCGGAATCTGAACTGCAAAGACGGGCACAATTAAAGAGAAGTAGACATTTGTGAACAATTAGAGAAAATGAAATTACAAGAGCACTAAAACTAGCCATATCTGAAAATTTATAAATGATAGTTTCAAAGAAAACATTCTGAATGTTTATTTTAATATGTATTTAAATTTTAATCGATTTCTGCTGCATTGTGAAACCACCTGTTAGTTTCATCTTTTAAGAACAGACGTGAAAATTCTGCACAAAAAATTACGATTCGATTGGAATGAGTTACAAGACTTAAAAATATTTGCAAGTTGCAAGAATCAATTGTGATGATTCAATAGCAAACTAAGTCTAATTTGAGGAAAACTTTTGCTAATTTGATTTTTCTCTTTAATAAAAGAATCGCCAGCAGAAATTGAAGACTGGTTCACCATTTCAGTACTTAAGCTCCTAAAAAACTTCATTAATGTATTTAATGATTAAAAATTTCAAGTGATTAAATTTTAATTTTAATTTTTAGTGACAATTATGCTTTAAGCGATAATTTCAGTTTTTCAGGTCAAGTTTTTAAGTCTTTAATTCTTCGACTAATACTTTTTTTTATAGCAATCAACAAAACTAAGTTTGACAAGCTATATTGAAGAACCAAACACATTGAGATGGGTTTACGCACGGTGACATTCTATTCAGTCTTTGGTTCGGTGTATTCCCCCCACCTGGGGGCGGGGTGATTTTTTTTTTTTAACCAATTAATCTAGAGATTCTAGAAGTAGGATTATTTAAGTGCTTGCAAGAGATTAACATAATCCCAGCTCAAGTTAACCTTGAATTCAGCTCCAATTTACAAAAAACCCTATATTTAGCAGTTGTCAGGCAACAATAAAAATATTGTTTTCTTTCTGGCCCAGTCAACACTGACCTTGTTAGCAAGATTTCCAAGGGTGAACAACATGGATACTGTACACTACAGTGTACATGTGTCACTATTACGAATAATGGCACATTGACAGTCTCTGTAGTAGATAGCCCATTTTACAGGTATTTGACAGTTAAAAAAATAAGACTGCCTTATTTTGCTATATAGTTTAACATTTTACGGCATATTTAAAGTGGAAAGTTTATTCAGTTTTGTTAAAAATTTGAAGTGATGGGAAGTTTAGAGACTAATCCTTGATCAAAAACTAGCTGCACAAGTTAGGTCTCATTGCTACTGTTTTCAAAGTAAAAGTGCCATATGGCAAACTACATAAGCTGTCGAATAGAACAGATTTAAGTTTTAACTTCTGAAGTCTTACCGACTACGCAAAGATTAATTTTTGAGGTTAGTCAGAAATTGAGATAAGCGACTAGTGAAGCCATTGCACTTGCGATAATATGTGTGGCAAATCCGCTTTAATATTTTCATATTAGAAAAAATTTAAAAATTTAGCAACTCAAAACAAAAAAGAGGTCCAGGGTTCTGGTGAAAGTTACATTTTTGTTCTGTAATTTAATTAGTATTGCCATGACAAGGTTATGAAAAAGATTCCGAACTTTACAGGGCGTATCCCCAACAAATAAGTCTAAGTCATTTAGCCACAAACTTAGAATAATTTAAAAAATTCTGTTAATGAATTACTTGCTGTTATTAGCAAGTATCTACAAAAAGTGCATCCACCTCTGTAAACTAAAATTAATACTAGGGATGCCTTTTTCCTAGGCAAAAAAAGCTACTGAAAATAAGGCGGGCACATCTCTCGCCCGATGAGTGGAAGTGGAGAAAGTTAGAGCTAGAGATAATGTACGGGCGGGAATGCTCGCCATGAAATTGAATTTCCAGGTAAAAAAAAAAAAAAAAAAAACTTGACACTTGCAATTTTTTATTGCAAGAGGAAAAAAGAGAGGAAAAGACTAGGAACTTTACTAAAATGTCAAGTTTGACAGGTGATTTGTATTCTATCAAACATGAGGATAAGTTTTTTGTGACTGCACTCAACTCAGCACATTAAGAGGAAGTTTTGAGTAGCTAAATGGAAATAATTAGTTCGCCATTGTATTTTTATCATAAACTGAAAATAACAGGAAGAGGCAAGAAGTGGCAACCAAGACTAAGATCTACAGCAGCAGACAAAATTCAGGTTCGGCTTTTAGGACAAATTAAAAATCTCAAGTGCCTTTTTTGTCGGTAGGCGTAGGCAGTTTGTTTCAAACACATGCAATATTAAACGAAAAAGATAAATCGGCAGTAATAAATAATGAAGGTGTAGCGAGTTCAAAAGTTGTACCTACCGGTTTCGGCATGGTGAAAAATCGTCAATGGTATTCAATCCGATGTGTAATATATCCAATTTAGTATACCAAGGATCCACTGAGATAAAGGAAGGTCCTGAAAGAAAAGTACAAAGAAACTAGTCAGAAAAAAAATTAACCCAACGAAATTTCAAAATAGGAAAACTGCAGATTTAAAGTAAAGTTATTTTATTAGTTTTTAGCACACAAATTTAGAACTTTGTATTTACTACAGCAAAATAAGCATTTAAAAAAGTCTTAAAACCAAGTAGATTTTAACTTAAGTCACAAAAACCTAGGTTTTACTTTTAAATTTTACAGAAAATAATTGAAGTTAGTCAAACAAACTAATTAGCCTTGATAAAGAAAAAGACCGGTTTTGGGGTTTTTTTTTAAGGGACAAAGTTTTTAAGCATTGTTGACCGAGAATGTAGATCAAATAAATAAAAACTAATACTTTAAAAGTTTTACATTTAAGGAGTTACGAACAAAAAGATGCTACCCAGGCAAAGTTATCTGTAACAAATTAGGAAAAACTTCAATATGGCGTTAGAGAGGAAGTAAAAAAAAAAATCCTGTCAAATTTTTTCTAAAACCGAAAAATATAAACACTTGTATTTTATTTTACGATAATACAGAAAAAAACATGCAGAACTATAAAATTCTCAAATAAACTAATATTGTTATAAAGGGCAGTTTCAACTTTAAAGTCATACAAAGACTAAGAGTTTTTTATGGACAGATTAGTTTACGTTTTTTTTTTTTTTTTTGAGAATTATTAGTTCTATATGCAAGTTGCAGACAGGCAAAGTTTAATTATTCAATTTTTTAAAGCACAAAGTTATCGTTAAACTTTTAAAAGTTTAAACTTAATACTTCCACGGTAAGAAAGTTGATATGGAAACAGCTGATGGCTTGAAAAGTTTTTAAGTATAAAAAAAAAAAAAAAAAAAAAAACTTTACTTTCATAAGAGTTGAAAAATAAAGGTAAGTTTTGCCACAATGTTTTAAACTAGTGAAACTGAAACCGTGAAAATAAGGTATCTGGTTTTTTTAAGTTTAAACACGGGAAAGCAGAGAATCAATAAACAGTTCTAAATTAGACTTTAGAAATTTTAGAAAACGAGATCAGTTATTTCATGCGTGTCGGTAGTGTACTATTTAATTATACTAAATAGTAACCTAGTATCTATTTAATGTTTATGTGTACTTGGGCGTGTATCGACACATAACACATACGTGTCTAGACGAAACCTAGACCCAGAGGAGGGTAAAAAAAAAAAAAAAAAATAGTAAGACGTTTTAGTGATTTTAAAAGCTATCCACTTCGGGTTAGTAATTTTATCTAGTTCTTGCGACCCCACTACCCATTTTAAGGGTTATGCCGTTAAAAAAACAAGAAAACAAAAACAAAAGAGGACATTTTTGGCAGTTCCACTCCCTAATTTAAAAACGTAGCCTGACGTTATTTCCAGTAAGCTTTAAGTCTCTAGTCTAGTCTTTTGATCTCACTTTTCTTTTTGGAAGGTTCAGGCAGATGAGTTATTTTTAAAGTATAACTATTTACTTAAAACGTAGCAGAGGTTTACGACAAATAGGTTATAAGAGAAAAGTTCCAGAAAAAAAAAAAAAAAAACTATAGAAAGGATGACAGATTCATTATAAAACTGACCGGTAGTTTAAAATTTCGAATAGAGTTAGCTTCATGAAAAGTCGGGGATCGATTCACTTAGTATCTTATATTGTTGGCTGATCCCCCAGATTTATCTAATCTTAAAGAGTACACGCCCAGTAGTAACAAATTGGTTAACAGAGTTTCTTGGCTACACCCATACACCGGTAGGTCTTCGTATCCAAGACCAAGACAATTCCGTTAATTCTGCTTAGTCCTGAAAGAAAAGAATACTGATCTATTTACCCCCATCATCATTACCACGAAGAATGACTTCACTTAAGTCAAGAAGACATTAAGGAGAAATAAAATCCAAGATCTTAATTCGCTTACCGTTTCGGGTAGTAGAATTTAGAGAGACAACCCCTCGATTAGTATATTCCTTATTTCAGTTGCCTCGCAGGTTAGAAAAAAAACGTGAATATATGTATTTTAAAGGACTTACTTGACTGTACAGCGGTAGTAGTTGTTACGCTACTACAGCGGCAGGAACACAACTGAAAGACTTGGCCACAACGTCTGGCAATCTATCATTTGCCGTTGCACTGTCTCACCCTCTCTATCTATAATGTTACCAGCGCATTTGCTTTCTTTTTCCTCTCTCATTAGAATCTATTACCACTCCCTTTCGCTCTCAATACCCACTCTCTACTATCTTCTAGCATTTTTTTACTATTCGTGTTGTGTGTGTGACTAACACTCTTTCTTCATTTCTCCTTAATATTCATTACTTTTCTAATTCCGCCCCCTCCTCTGTATTATTCATTCTCTCACTATAACTCAAGCTTTCTCCTCCCTTTGTAAGTTAGTTTGCTTTAACTTTCACTCCCTTTATGTTTCTTCTTTTTCGCTCTCTCAACCTAATTTTATTTTTTTCTCTTCATTGTTTTCTTTTCTCCCTACATTTTGCCTCCACCTATTTTCTTTATATTTTTGGGGGTTTTTATTTCTGAATTCGCCTCCATACTTTATTGTTTCTCGCTTAGTTTATCTCATTCTTTTTCTATATCATTTTAGGTCACAATTTTAAGTTTTTAGGTTCTCAGTAACTTTTGTTTCGGTTTAATTTACGAAACTACTTTATAACTTTAATTAATGAAAAATGTTTCGTTCAAAACCAGAGAAAACAAGAACAGATCAAGCAGCTTTGAAAAACTGTTCCGAAAGTTAATGTTAAAAAAGAAAAGCTCAACTCTTAAACTATAGAACAGCTTATGACAAAAACTTATCTTATGATGACGTAACACACCTGATTCACTTTTCTTCTTATACTCGTTTTTAAAGTGACTGTCTTAAAAGTACATGAAATTTTACTTTTTACATTATTTTTCCCTACTAATATCGTTGATGTTGTCTACAACGTAAAAATGCTATTATTGATGCTGTTAATTTTTGTAATTAAAAGGAGTGAGTGAGAAAAAAGCAATGTAAAATGACCATGATCAAGAAAAATAAAAACAAAACAACACCACTCCCGCCATAAAAAGCTATTATTTATTGTGTTCTTCAAACGTATGCTTCTTCTTTTGTTCATATTTCACTTCTTAGCTCATTCTTTAAAAATGTTCTGTTTTGCTTGAGTGTCATTTTTCTTCCTTTTTTTTAAACAACTTTTTGTTGGTTCGTTTTTTTTTTTTTTAATTTGATTCATTTGTTCTTCACTAAAAAGGCTGGTTGTGTGTATCGTAGTCGTTATTTTTCATAGTGAATTAGTAATTAATTTAATTTCTGTTCAAAGTGTTCACAAAATAGAGAGAAGCCTTTAATTTCAAGCCAACATATTCAAACAAAACAAAGCCATTTCTCTTCTCTAACTGATAATAAACTTGTAAAATTTCCGGTGTTTTAAAAACTTGATGGGGGGGGGGCAGTAATCATTCATATTTTTTTCCTCATCGCCATCACAGTAAATTTACACTTACAGTTGCTGCTTTCTATTTTCAACCCAACCTTTTTTTTTTTTTTTCGTATTTCATACTGTTACACCTTAAAAGCATTTAACAGTCATTTTGATGAAGAAAAAAAGAAATAAAAACCAACATACGATACAGAATTTTTGCAGAAAGAGAGAAAAACTTCCTTAAAAATACTTTTTATTTTTGTCTGTGGACATGTTTTTCATTGGTCATCCTTCATTATTTTCATAGTCGTTAAAAAGAAGATAAAATTAAGCACTTGTCAAACATTTTCCATCTCTTAAAAAAAAGTTCAATTTCACTAAAATTAGTTATCGTGTAAAAATAGTAAAAAAAAAAAATTTAATCTATGTGAATTCTATAAAATCGTTAAATACTCTTTAAAAAAACATTTTTAATTTTTTTTTTAAACAACTTTTTTTGTTAATGATATTTTTTATTTAAAACTACTCAGAACATTATTTTTTTTAATTTATGAACGAAGAAAATTAAGTAAAAACTTTTAGGAATCACTTTCTTTACAAAATTATTTTTCCTGAACAAAACACTAAAAGTCATTAAATCTCTATTAATTTTATTTATTACTCCAATATTACTAATTTTTTGTCTGTGCTGCCCTTTTCAACTATATTCATTAACGCGCTGAAAATTCGCGTGAGTACACGGTGTACTCCTATGTTTTTCTTTCTAAACGATTAACAAACTTTTTATAGACAAGAGTTTGCTTTTTAACCAATATTGAGAACATAGGAAATTAAATTTATTTGTAATTATGTTTTAAATTTATTGTTCAGGAATATTAATAGCGACGCATGATAATCATTGCACAACAACAGTAACACAAACATGTGCCCATCCTAATAAAACACTTAAACTTTTTTTCTCTTATTTACTTTGAATTTTAGACATTTGTCCATTTTCAGGATATTAAAGCATTTTTAAGAGCTGACTTCTTAGATTACACAGTCTCTGTACGAACCCCTAAACAAATAAACATTAAATTTCAAAATCTGCAGTAAATTTGAATTTCATATTCTAAATCATTTGCTGTTTGGGTTGTAGAAAAAGTCATAGATGAAAAAAATCATAACTTCAGAATCATAAAAATGTTAGGAAAAAAATGTAAGAAAATATTTTTGTTTGGAATAGGCAATATTTTTAAATAAAATAAGTAACATTTTTTTTTAGTTTTAATTTATATCTTCATACAAAAAATATGTAATTGTAATATTTTTAAATTTAATAATTAATAAAAGTACTAAAAACCAGTTTATTTAAATTAAAATATTTTTTTTCCTAGTTTTTAAATCTCAAATTATAATTAATTATGTCTATGTATAATATAAAATATTTTATTAAAATATTATATATTTTAATTTTATAATTTAAATGAAAATTGTTAATTATTTTCTCCATGACTTAACTAACACAAGCCGAAGATATTATTTCTGTGTTTCTTCCATGAGGTTTTTCTCCCGAACAAAGCGTACCTTATAACTTTTTTTCTACCATGTCTTTTCCCCAGTTACCTTGGCTGGCACGTAGAACACAAGATACTATGGTTTGCATTAATGTTGCTAAAAAGTTTCTGGGAAACGTAGTCATTTTTGATAATTTGAAAACGGAAATTATCAAATCATAAAAATTACAAAGGATCTTTATAAATTATTGAACAAAATTATATTTTTATTTACCAGTAGAAAGCATGCTGTTTAAAACTTTTATAATTTAAAAAAAAAATGAGGGGTTTCGTTTCTTTGAGAAATGTTTGCGTATGAAATGTAGTGAGAGTGACTCTCTCGGGTGTTAAATAAAAGCTGGTGTCGTAATTATAGCGAGGAAAAAAAATAAGAAAATTAATATAATTAAAAAAGACTTGTTTTTAAATCATTCCCCAGCCACCGCACTTATCGAACCCCCACGTTTAATAAGTGGGGTGGTTGGGGAATGATAAAACAAGTCTTTCAATTTAGTAGACCTAGAAGAAATAAAATAAAAATAAAATAAACATCCATCAATATTCAATCTCAAAAATGTTAGTTGTATTTTCCATTTGTTGCACGCGCAAATCATCGCTCGTTCATTTTGAAGTTTGTTATAGAGATTGTTTTGAAAATGAATCAGACACATGAAGAATGATAAATATATTTTATTTTAAAAAAAAAAAAAAAAGAAAAAAGAAAGTTATTAATAATGATTTTCCACCACAGTGCATTTCAAAACAAGAATTTTCCAGCAATCCATCGAATAGTGTGACTATTCAATGAATAGTCAAACAAAAATTAATAAGCAGAGGGTCCTAATAAGTTCCGGAGGGCGTGGATAAAAAAATCCCAAAATTAAGAAACGAGTGAGAATGAGCTAGTCTTTTATATCCGAGAGCGATTTGTAAAAACAGTATCACAAACGAGACTGGACAGATATTTACAGTACTTTATTTTTTCGTGATAGCTGATTGGTTAAGTATTTGATGCATCAAAAAGTTATGTCAGTTACTTAGATTTTTTTTATTATTTTGTCATTCATAAAATATTTTTGATTTTTACTGAAATGAAGGTAACTTTTTTGATATACACAAACTAAGTAACAAAATGCTCTCACTCAATTCATAACGTGTCCACAATGTATAGATTAGGTGATTTTTTTCATTCATAAGCATAAATGCTTAAATGATAAAATTTTTTATGCACACACATCCCCGACTATTAAATAGTAGAACAGACTGGGCTTTTTAACCTTGTGTGGTAACTAGTTTAAGAGAAAAACTTGAATTCAAAACCTGTGACTGAAGCTATCACTTGTCACTTCTTTATCATTGGATTATGGTAGCTGATGTTCATAGTAGTATTCAAGTTGTCCAAGTGTCTAACCCAGAGTTACAGGTATTTTCTTACATGAAAGAGCCAAGCAACAACTAAATTGTATTAATGCGAAATATAAGACAACGACAATGGACACTACAAACACTGTAAGAAATGATTATATAACTAACATTGTCAGGTCTAACATTATTGAATTCTATAAAAAAATTGTTATACTTTTGGCTATTTTTTTTTACTTTGTCCACTTCTTAAGAAGTTATTTTTAGAAGACAAGATTACATTTATTTAAACGTAAACACTTTTTTAATTAATCATCTGAGACAAAGCTTATATATGTCAATTTAAAAAATTTGGCTAAGAAAATAGGTAGGATGACATACTTAATAAAATATGCTTTTAAAAATTGTTAATGCAAATTAAATATTGTAGCTTATGTTGCAAATGCAATTTCTTATATAACAAATTGCATTTGCAACATATCTACAATATTTAATTTGTATAACAATTTTTAAAAGCATAGGCAGCATATGTTGTATATGACAGGGCATTGTGTTTAGGCTTTTATATTTTTCTTGTATTTGTACAGGTGATTTTTTCAATTTTAATAAAATGGTCATGCTCAAAATTATCATTTTCATCACATATATATATATATATATATATATATATATATGTGTGTGTGTATGTATGTATATGTATAATTTAAATTATTATAATTTAAATATATTCTCTTGTGAGTGTATCTACTCTGAGTTTCAAAGAATTACCTCCACATATCAGGAGACTTGACCAAATTTTCTGAAGAGTCGATGCAAATACCCAGAGCAGTTGCAGTCATAAGTAAACAAATTTATTTATAAATAACACTCTATCTCTTGATACTGAGCATTCTAATTACAAAGATTACCTGACCTAAAATTACACTGGTTGATTGTTTTTTTGGTGATTTATAATCTTAATCTTTGGTATTATATATATATATATATATATATATATATTGAGGAAATTGTAAGACAAAGCTGAAAAAG